GTGTGTGTGTGTGTGTGTGTGTGTGTGTGTGTGTGTGTGTGTGTGCGCGTGTGTGTGTGTGTGTGAGCGGGTGGGAGTCACGGAGAGGGAGAGGGTGAGCGGGAAGGCGAGAGAAGTAACTATATTAGAAGGAATGTGTGTATACGTGCCTGTGTGTGTGCCGTTTGTGCCGTACGTGCGTTTGTCTGCGCATAGTGACGCATACGTGTGCACATCTCCGTCTACATTCTTTCCTCTCTTATTTTTCTCCTCTTTCCTTCCTCCTCCCCTCTGTATTTCCCACCCCATCGCGAATAGTATCGCCCACGGCATCAGGTGCACGGTGAAAAGGGACTAGTGTAAAACAACAATTTTTACTTTATATATGAATCTAAGGTATATATGATGACTCTAAAAAGCTAAATCTACTTGTCACATATTGTCATTGAAATGTCCTTGAAAAAATAATTCACCCTTTTGTGGGAACTATGTGATAAGATACATTTTTGCAGCCACTAGATTTTTTCTTCATGAACAAGACTGTATTTAGTACATGTACTTGGATCTGAATTATATGCGATCAAGATTCAATAATAAGATTTGTGCCCAACTGTTGACGGACGGACGCTCGCACGGACGGACGATCAGGCGATTCTACAAGCTTCTTAATAATAATAATCATAATAACACATAAGAAAACAATAATTATAATTTGATCATGCGATTCTTAAAAATAATAATTATAATAACACATAAGAAAACAGCGGACACACGGTGTTTCTTCGTAACGTTTTAAATGAACATATTTATTTTAATCGATGCCGTATTTACACAGTAATCTACCCACGTCTCACTCTCACTCGTCTATTTATGCTGTACACACAAGCAGTCGTAAAGCAGCAAACCACGTCTAACTAATGCTGTCTCCCTCCTCCCCCGGACGCATCCAGACCGAGCCTTCCACCGCCATGCGATCGTCTCTCGCGTACTTCGCCAGACTGCGTTCGTTGCCGTGGCGGCCGCGGCGCCGCCGACCTCGCTGCTTCGTCGGGGTCAGGTCGCGGCGGGATGCGGTCGCGTGAATTCTGACTAGAATGCCCCTTCAGCTCCACCGCGCCGCACGAGCGAGCACCGAGCGCGTTTTTTCCAACGCATAAATCCACCGAAATCGCCGCGCCGGTCGCCATTTATCGTGATACGGCGACAGTGGCTCCCTCTACGTGCATGCGACGTTCTCGCTCCTCTTCTAGCCTCGCCGAATTAAGGGTAAATAAGCGAAACAAATGTGCGCGGCGGCCGCACCTACAGTTGCTCACCCGCGAACGCGCGTCTGCCGAAATGCGGAGTGCGCGTTACCGCACGCGCGTAGCAATGGCCGCCGCTGCCTAGGATGCACCTCTCGATTATAGAATCGCCGCCGAAAGTTCGCGAAAATCGAAAAAACAACGTCGAACATTGAAAACGCTGAACACCGCCGCCTACGACGACGCCTCGAAGTGTTTATAGATGGCGGTGACGTAGTCCATGACCCCCTGCCAGTGAGGTCGCTCGATCGCTACCATGTCGTTGATGTTGAGAGCTGGCGCGATGCCAACGCTCTCCGCCGCAGCAAACGCCAGCGTGAAGTTCTTCCTCTGCAAACGAGAAATACGACGTCAAAGTTGCTGATAGGTGGCGCCGCTTTCCGAGCGATGGAAAACGGGGGGGGGGGAGGACAGTCGCAGGACTGCGGCAACCTAGTCGCTGACAGATGGCGCCACTTGTCGAGTTACGCGAAATGTAACGCGGAGTTGCGAGACTGTAACGATGGAGTCGCTGAGAGGTGGCGCCACTTGCGTGAGCGGAGGGAAAGTCATGAGACTGCAACGACAGAGTCACAGGCAGTTGGCGCCACTCGTAACGTTCTTTTGTCGTCTGTTGTACATGCATTAGTGGCGACGTAACTATAGCTTGTCAACCGTACTTCCCGCACGCAGAAAGAAACCCTACTCGACTTTTTCCTCGATAAGCAATCTAAGTTAACAAATAATTGAATCGAGTTCGATCTTGATAATCAATCGACCAAATAATTAATCATCGAATGAATTAACGACCGATAGCGGGCTAGCAGCAGGAATGATCTGGAGCCCGTTGTCAGAAACAAAATTAGTCTTAACATTAGTCTTAACACCAACATTTTCTCTTAGACCGTCGACAGCGCTTTGTTTCGTATTGTTGTGAGGAAATCTGCTACGATTTTCCAATCAGGTAACTTCGCAGCGTATCTGTCGACGGTCTAAAGTTAATGTTAAGCCTAATGTTAAGACTAATTTTGTTTCTGACAACGGGCTCCTGGTGTATGGACTGACCTTGTCCTGGCTCGTCAGTGCGCTGTATGGAACCTTGTCTGACAGGTAGCGGTGCAAGATCGCACAGAATGCTAGACCATCGTTCCAGCTGCTGCTGAAGTTCGTGATGTCTACTCCCTGCACCGTGGATGAGAACAGATCATGAGTGTTACCCCACCTCACAGCATACCTACCACACAGCATACCTACCACACACCACCACACAGCATACCTAGCACACAGCATACCTACCACACACCACCACATACCACTACACAGCATACCTACCACACACCACCACATACCACCACACAGCATACCTACCACACACCACCACACACCACCACACAGCATACCTACCACACACCACCACACACCACCACACACCACCACACAGCATACCTACCACACACCACCACATACCACCACACAGCATACCTACCACACACCACCACACAGCATACCTACCACACACCACCACACAGCATACCTACCACACACCACCACACA